AAACGTCCAAACAGTGAAAACATTGGTTATGAAGACGAAATTGGGCTGGAGATACCTACCATTCGTTCATATGATCTTTAAGCCCAACAATTTCATTTTTCTTCCCACAAAGAACGCAATCTAGCTCTTCGGTTATGCACATAGTTGCACAACAACGATGTCGCAAACAATTCAAACAACGACAATATCACATGTATACATAAATATACTACTATATCTATACTATAGACTTCATTACGTACTGCTATATATTACATATACCACTTATTACCACTACTAAATACTTTATTACATTTGATCTCACGCGCTATAATTCATGACGATACAGGTATTGTTCTTAACACTGATCAAATAATGTTCAGCAACGACAAGAACAACAACAAAGACATGTCACAAACAATACAAACAGCAACACTATATGCATATATACATATCGTATTACGGTTACACCGCTATGAAATACGATATATACATGTAACATACAACATTACGTTCTATATATTAGGTTGATGCAAAAATAATGAGCGTTTTCCTAGGACTTTTTTCAGCACAACTTTTCTCTATCAAACTTCTTCCTTTGTAACGGTTTCAACGTATTGTTAAAAAGCACTTTTCATGCTCTATCTAATGATGTTCGAAAGGGACTTCTAGCCCACTCTGTTAAGAACTTATAAAGCTTCAAATAATCGCAATCAAAACCAGAAGTTCGTTGCATTCAATTTTCTAGCCAGGATTTGAGCGCAAATGAAGGTGCTTTTTCGAAAATTCAGCCTCTATATGTAATGGAAATTGCCTACAACATGCGTACTTAACCTTATTTTTTGAAGTTATCTAGAGTGAGATATCGGCGGCTTAACATGGGTAATGGTTGTGCTCATTTTAAAGCCCATAACTATCTTTTGTAGAATGCAGTCGCTCAAACTTTGCTCATCTCCGTAAGCGCGAGGGTAGGGCATCCTGTAGACAGTTTTAGCAAAGACTTTAGCTGTTCAATACGCAAAAATTCAGAAATTTCTATACTTCAGGATTTTGAGGCTTACTGAAAAAATGCTGAGAAAGTTGATATTTTTGAAATTCGATTTTTCCCTCTCCGCTAATCCTTTTTCTCCAAGCTTCTAGGTATATTTGTACTACTGGCTTGCGGCTATAAGATAGGCTGCTTATAAATTATAACAAAAAAATGTGAAAAGAGTTATGTTTTGTCAAAAACAAGATTTCAGAAAAAAAAACTTTTTTTGTTTTTCAATCCATATTTTTCTGCCCATATGAAATATGAGTATAGCTTAATGTGCGCTGTTTTGCAAAAGGTTCGCTGCATCTGGTGATCTTTATCAAATTTCAAAATGTGGATTCTATAGAAAGTTATAGCAAATTAAAGTAAAAAACAGGGCCCGGCACTAGGTGGGCAAACGGGGTTTTCCAAAACGAATTTCCCTTTGATCCCAATAAATTTTACGAATACCCCCTTGAGCTAATGACGTTTCGTGCTTGTGCGACGAGATTACCGGCCACACTTCGCCTAAAAGCGCTCAAAAACGCCCAAATTGCTCAAATTCCTCAAATTACTCTTCAGCTGTAACAAAATAGAAAACAGGAAGAAAAATAAGCAAAAAAATGATTAAGGAATAAGAAAATATCAAAGAAACGCAGTCATAGGAATGAGAGACGCCGTTCCCGCGCGTATCGATTGACTGGGGCGCGCTTTCTATCTTAGAAAGCTAGGCTGCTGATGCGATTTTGGGCTCTAACAAGGACAAGAGGAGGAATTTCGGAACCAAAATTTCACCATGTAGTAAACTTTAGGTGTACAACAGATTTATGTAAAAATTTTCAAAAAATTATGTGAATTGAGAGTTTTGCCGACCTCAGGTGGGAATTAGGTCGGCAAATGCCGACCTAATTTGGAAAGTAGTTGAACACGCTCTTCATTTACATAAGTTTTTCATAATATTTCACACTTTATTACTTAGTCCTATTGCGCATATACACACCGAAACCCGCGCGATTTCGTTACCTCTGCGTTGCAAACGAGCCATTTTTCCATTTCTTTGGTAGCGCAAAATTTTCAGAAAAAAGTTTGCCACAACCTTCAGTCACATAATTTTTCAATGAAACTCCTCAGTTAAGCCCTGCAAGCCCGTGTGCATGTGCTTACCAAGTTTCATACCATATCGTTCATCTGCGCGTTCCAAACGAGCCGTTTGAATTCACATCTTCATTTACCAGTTTTGCGAAATTCTAGGAAAAAATGCTAATTACTCGTTCCATTCACATAAGTTTTTCAGAATTTTTCATACTATGTTTCCACTAGCCTCTCTCCGTTCGCATACAAAATTTGGTGCCATATCGTTACACATACATTGAGAACTAGTCATGTATGCAGTTACAAATAGCATCGCTTGGGCGACGTCGCGCGTGCGGCAATTAGCGACGGCGCGGTTTGACGCGCGCGAACTCCAGTGTTCGCCTGTTGAGGCACATAACATGTCAAGGATAAGTAGCGAGCATGAACTACCAATTTTTTTCCTGGGCTCCGCCCCGGACCCCGCAAAAACTATTTCCCCTTTGCTTTTTGGCCCCAAAACGATTTCCAGCTTGTCATTTGCCGACCTCGTGCCGGGCCCTGGTAAAAAAGGAGAAACGTTTCTTTTTTTGCATCAACCTAATATATTACAGTTTATATGTTACAGTATTGATAGTATTATATATTATAATTATAAAACAAGACACGACACGACAAATACGACATAAAACCGTTTCCTAGCAAGTAACACACAGACTTCCACAATCCCACTTCTTTCTTAATTGTGTTGGCGCTCTCAAAAAATAAAAAATTTATTTTCTTGAGAGCGCCAACAAGTCATGCTCCCTCTTGAGTGGATGATGAATTAGAATTGGATGCCACACTCACCGTATATTTCTGCCATCGATAACAACCACTCGCTGTGGCATTCGTGATGTTGAGGGTCGCACGCGAGCGGCCTCACGTACAACAATTTAAACAGAACATAAAAGCATTTCCTAACAAGTAACACACAGACTTCTACAATACCACTTCTTTCTTAGTTGTGCACAAAAAAATAAAAAATTTATTTTCTTGAGAGCGCCAACAAGTCATGCTCCCTCTTGAGTGGATGATGAATTAAAATTGGATGCACAACTCACCGGTTGTTCTTGCCCTCGATAACGACTACCCAGTCTTGTGACGCTGAGGGTCGCACGCGAGTGGCCACACGTACAAATGCGGACGGCATGTTAGAAGCGTCTAAAATGTTAGCTGGAAAGACAGGTGAACATCAAAGCGCCCCAATCCTCGCATCTGAAGTGCTTTACGGTAGCATGCACATATTCATGCCTTTTCAGCCGACGCATTCTGCAAGCAGTCAAATAATCGAAATTTTTGAGAGTTATTTTTGGAATTCTTCCCAACATCCAGGTAACACGCACGGGTATTTGTATTCGGGTTTCGGGGTCAGACATGCTCGCGATGTACTTGAGAAGCACTGCAAACTCGGATCACTGCCTAAGAAAGTTTAAGACCAGCACTTAAATTACTCATGGCGGCTGTCGAGAAACTCGACCGATAATTTCTATATTTTCTCTGTATTTTCTGTTTGATGATTCACTTTTGATTGCCTTTGAAAGCTGAGTGCGCGGCAAGCTCTTTCTTTGTACGCTGCAGCTGCGCCAAGAATCAAGTAAAAAGTAAGGGCGGCCGCAGCTAGCGACCTCCTCCTTTCGTTTTTGGCTCAAGCGTCATTTGATTGTCATTGCTTCATCTTAATTAGTTGTCTTATATTTACTTACATTCTTAGTGCCTTTACTTGCTTATGGATCAGGTAGACAAAAACATATCAAGTATTTTAGCCCTAACGTTTGCCATAATCAGAATCTCATGTTGAGCTGGTATTTTATTTTGCGTGCAATATCGTTTATTTGGATTTTATAGTTGTTAATAAAGGTTTAATTACACAAGTTTGAGGTATCTCCTCGAGCACAACTCCGTCACTCTAAAGACCCGCGTGGCAGTTGATATTTTGGTGGCATTATCAAGTGGTAATCGACGGTTATAGTACTGTCTATATATAACTCGTCTACATTTGTTACAGCGGCCTCGGTAAAATTAGAAGGATATTATGATATTTGGAATATGATGTGGTTGAGGAAGCCATATAACCAGATCACATCAGTATTGCCATCAATTCATCTTCACTGCCTTCCGCGCGATTCCGAGCCACTTCCAAGCTGTCGAAAATTCGTTCACTAGTCCAATGTTCACGAGGTAGTTTTCAGAGACAATCTTCTCCAGTCTCAAACAGTGGTATCCCATCGTAAATCCTGCGATCTTCTCGTCGAGTGGCTGCTTCTGCTGGCTGTCATTCGAAACGATCCTAGTCTAGCTTTTTGCAAGAATTGGAATAGCTGTTTCAAGTGATTATTGAAGCGAAAAGGCACAGAAACATGAAAGTTTGAAGCTCTCCAGGCACCTCCAAAGGCACAAGCGGCACGCCCTTTTTATTAGTGCTGTAATACCGAAACAAACGAAAACGTAACTTTGGTGAGCTTAAGTAAAAGCAAAGTAAATAGAAAATAGTAGCATATTCATTTATTCAACTACAAGTTGTAACCACCAAGCTATAAGACGCCAAGATAGTGATCTGGAAGAGAAACCACAAAAGTGATGCGTGACCAATTGCAATATGAATGGCGTGAGATCAAAGTAAGAGTGTTCACCAATTCGGATTCGCCCACTTCACAATTCTAAAGATCTGTGATGAGCACCGAGAATAAACAAAAACTTCTAGTGAAGAAGTGGAGCAAAAAGCTAAGAAAATAAAAACAGTGTCGAGTTGAAGGTGGGGTATGATGATTGGTCGAATCTTTAATACAGGGTGTCCCAAAAAGTTGCACACTGTTTGATCTCCAATAACTCTACTACCTCAATGCCTTTTGTCGCTTTAAGCCACTATGTAGAGCTGGCTTCAACTTAGATTTGCAGTATGAAGCTAATATCCCATCTTTCTTCGTTACTGCAAGATCACGGTAGGAACTTTGAAGAGGGTTTTGAGCCATAAGAGTCGCATTTCACCCCGGAAGGAAAACCAAGCAAGCCAAAAACTTTCATACTAGACTAATTAGAGCCGCTGATACAGATGTGCAGTGATACAGATGTGCAATTTGCACAGAAGGCCCATGCTTCCTTCATAAGTTATTTCAGGAAAACAGCAACAACAGTTCTCCAATGTTGTTCAAAAATGTGATTGCAGCTCTAAAAAGGCTCACAATTCTCGTTTAAAAATGCATAATGAAATCACCATGCTCGAAAACCCACCTACACAAATTTCCAAATCTTCTCGGAATTTTTTTATCGAACCTCCTAATTCATAATGGCGCTGCTAAAAGTTCACACCGTAATGCTGCACTAGCCAAGAGAAATAGGAGCTAAATGGTATCTTAACCCTTTGGGACCTGGCGGTGGCAATTGCCACCACCAAGTTTGAAGGACTGCAGCATCGCCGCGACAGCATGTTTTTAGCATTCCTAGTTGTAGTAGCTTGGGATGGCCTATAGCTTTCTATCTGCGCGTCCACTCGCATTTTTGTTCGTTCTGCGCTTAGTATCAGAAGCAGTTGCGTGCGAAGCAACACTGGATCGCGCTCAACTTTGAAATTTGATAGGTTAGTGCCAAATTCTTTAGACCACTGTGTGTTTATTCATATTTCCATGGTAACCGTCGAGTATGAAGTTGTTCAAAAATAATTGGCAGTTGTTTGTGAGCCCACATGTGTTGACTCTTTGCCATCACCTTCAGAATTACTGTACGAAATTGCTACCAGTGGGCTTTAGTGGAACTTTAATAGTAAGTTTTTTTATGCAGAAGACGGACTGCCAACGAGCTTCGACAAGAATCAAGCTAGCATATCTCAACAAATCACCTTGAGAGAAGCTGTGGCCGCATCATTGGCGAAAATGATGCTAACGAGGAGTTCGGAGGCATTGAAGAAAGCGACGAAAAAAAGCACGAAGATGAGAAAAGGAAAGTTCTCTGACATCGCAAATGAACAGAAACAAGGAAGACCGATGTCCAATTCTTCGAATATCATGAATGCACCTACTACCGTCCCAGCAAAACGCGTGAAGCTGAGATTGAGACCTCTGAGTGAAGTTAGAGGACAGCGTCGGACACTGGCCGATACATGAAGACCGTAGCGAACAACGATGTAAACTAGAATCTCGTGAAGTACGTTCTCGAATTCAGTGTGAGAAATGTAAGTTCATCCTTGTGACGAAACATCGAAATTGCTTCAGTGAATTCCATTGTAGTTAAGAAGATGTTTCAAAAGCTGTTCCACTAGAGCCTGTTGGTGGCAAATGCCACCATTTTGTAATTCCTTACTATATGGTCGAAAACTAAGCTTAACTGAAGTGTTATTTATGTGCCTATAAGTAAAAATCGAAAAAAATTACTTCCTTACGGGGAAAAAGTCAGGTCCGAAAGGGTTAAGATGAGCGAAAGGCATCGAAGCTGCGAGTTATAATATTTAAGATCAATGTGCACATTTTGGGACAATCTGTATAAAACTGAATATCTGTTAGTGTATGTTTGTGTGTGTCTGTACGTATGTTCCGAAAAGAAATTTTTATTCTGAATGAAACCGGACCAAATTTGGCATACATACACTTCGGGGGGGGGGGGGGGGGATCGGGTGTCATGGGCAGGGATGAGCAAGAGGTCAGGCACAAGTCTTTCAAAAACGACCCCCTCCCCCCTGTGAAGGTCCCTAAACGACCCCCCGCTTCACCTCCAAGTCCTCAGGGTGTTATATTTTGAAGAAAACCAGCCTTCACTGCAGGTTTCTATTTTTTGAAATTCTGTAGGTCCGATTTTCTGCGGTGGCACAACCACACGCAACTTGACGGCAAGTTTTAGGTCTGGATAGTCGTCTTTTCAGAGCTATAATTTTCACAGGGGTGAAGCGTTTGCCTCCAAATTTTCAATATAGCAAGAAGAGGCTTTGCGCTCAATACTGACAAAAAAGGGGCGATTTTTGAATTTTGAAGGCAAGTTAATGGGGTCAGGCGCAACCCCTCAAAGCTCAGGCGGCCTGACCTTTTGAGGGGTTGCGCCTGACCCCATTAACTTTATTTCCAAAACAGTTTTTCTATCCGAGTTTTGTGTGATTCGCTAGCTCAATCCTCGAAGATTCCACAATAAGTGTTTGAGCTTGATTCGACTTGTTTCGGCCTTGTGCTAATCCGAGAAGTCGAAGCACTCAACGTGAAAAACGCGCCGGTTGGAATTTTGGCAGCACTGCTTACTTCACTGTTTGAAAGCGATATGAAGCCCGATTTGTAGCATAGACTTGTAGAGAACATTACTTTGTTATGAGTATACAGAAGCTGACTTTTCCCACTTCTGAAACCTAGTTGATCACGTTTGAAAATCACGCTTTTTAGACGTTGAGAAACACTAGAAACTGCAGTAGGTGATGGTTTGTAGAGCGCATAGAGGTAGTTTCAAATGCTTTATGGAAATGATACCCATTTCACACGGCAAGCTTCCTTGTCGACCTCATATGTCAAGGTAAAAGAGATGAAGATTTGAATTTTGGCTGAGACTTCCATTGTAGGAACAATCAGTATGCTGTTAATGACCGTCACTCCTTCATGTGATCGCGATATCCACCGGACTAACGCATTTCTTTTTCACCTTCGTAGTATCTTCCCAAATTAACAAATTCGATTCCTAATTACGACCCCCCCCCCTCAGTCTTATTCTCAATACGATCCCCCAGGTCGCGCTCAACCCTGGCCATGGGTGTCTTCCTCATTGATGGATCTCGATTATCCATTTTTTGCAAGGGTTCACCTACGAGGCTGCGAGTTGTCGGCGGCGTGGCGTTATGGAGCTAAGCTACGCCGCATTTGCCTGCGGTATATCCTGAGGGCCCTTTGCGTTGTGTCGCTCCTAATTGCACCCGCAGAGGAGCTAGCGTTACCCAGCGGATTGAGTCATTCTCGAAATTCTTCTGTAGAGAGACCAAAATGCGGATGTTAAACGATGAGGATGAAAAAATAGATTCTGAGGAACAAGTGTTTGAAAGCGCCAACCAAGAGAAAGTAAAAGCTTGGAAAGTCAGTAAGGAAAATTTTCTGTCCCTTTCGTACTCCTGCGGCTGCAATTAAAGGCGACGCAACGCAACTAGCCCTCAGGATATACCGCAGGGGAATGCGGCGCTGCTTTGCTCCATAACCCCTGCCCCCCCCCCCTCCCCGGAGTTGTCACAGGGGGGGGGGGGGATAAGTGAGCATGCAGATTACGAAAATATTATTGACAGGGCAAGACGGAGCCGGGAAAAAAGTTGCCAGTTACTAGAAAAATCGGCGGAGCGGAATCTAACTGAAAAGTAGTTCTAACTTGTCATTGCGGTTATTATTTATGGCTAATTCAGGAATGACCACCGTTTTGAAGTACTTCTTTCTGTTTATTGTTAGTTATCGTAGCTGTAAGGCCTCGGGCATAGTTCACGCATTTCATCGTCTTGAGCAATTCTCCAAACAAGATAACTGTTACAATTCATTGCACGCCAACTGTGCATTTCGGTTCCGATAGTTTTCGGACGCGACTATTCGTGAAACTGTCACAACCGAAATGCAAGATCAAGGTCAGCAAGCAATGCACTCGTAGCAGTTGTCTCGTTGGCGAGGTGTCGCGCAATGTAACCTTTGATTCAAGGGAAGGCAGTTGGAAGGCGGGTCTTCGAGGTCTTATCAAGGCGAGAGAATGATCAGATAGCATGCTCACGAGTGAGACGTAGGCTGCGTCGCGGGCGCGAGCGGTCGCCTTCCAGCCGCCAATCCCGTTGGATTAAAGGGTATGCTTGGCCCTTTACGTCACGATTCGCCCGAAGGAGATTGCAAATCCATGTCGGAACTTACCATGTTGTACATTACCGCTGTTTTTTTTTTGTTGTTTCCACTAGCTTCAGTATATAATAGTTGGATTGAAAACGTAAACGTCACTAAAACTTAATAATATTTCTGGGGAAAATAATTTTATCTCAGAAAAGTACGATTTGTTTTGATTTCGAATAAAAATTTGATCCGACACCTGACGCATGCCTTATAATCCATTGAATATACGGGGTGTCCCAAAAGTATGTATGCACTGTTTGATCGTTAATATCTCTCTTCCCAAGAAGTCTTTTGCCTTACTTCAGATACCGATTTGTAGAGCTGGCTTCAGCTTAGATTTGCATTATAAAACGAATCACCCATCTTTCTTCATTACTTTAGGATTACGGTAGAAACTTCAAAGAGGGTTTTGAGCAATGAAAGGCCATATTTTGCCTCAGAAAGGAAACAAAACAGCTTGAAAGCTTTTACACTAGGCTAACTAGAGTTGCTGATTCTAACTGTAAAGTTCCCAACTTATTATGGTGCTTCATTAAAGAGTTATGCCGGGTAAGAGGTAGCGGCTATTTTTTCAATGTTAAAAAGTGCGGTTACACCGTTTGGCTTCGTAATCTTGTGAACAGTTGATTATTGAACTCAGCGTCCATAAAAACCCTGTTACACAAAACCCTGTTTCACATTTTTTTTTTTGAAAAATTTTGAATTGGCAGCTTTTTCCACATCGGCACCATATGTTTTAAGTTTCTACCGTAATCCTGCAGTAATGAAGAGAGATGGATGATTCGTTCTATAATGCAAGTCTAAGTTGAAGCCAGCTCTACGAAACGGTACCTGGCTAGGCAAAAGGCTTCTTGGGAAGAGAGATATTAACAATCAAGCAGTGCATACATACTTTTGGGACACCCTGTATATTTCTTTTATGTTCTCATATTTCTGATACCTTTTCACCCTGTAGATGTGTCGCCATTTTGGAAAGATTGGGACCATTTTTTCTTACAATTCGGTTTTAGAGAATATGTCGACAAAAGCTTAGTGTCCATCTAAAAGTATTCAATTAAATCACAATTCCAACCTCGTGGTGCACACAAGTATCCAGGTGAATTTAGGCAAAACTGTGGATTTAGTTTCGCTCAAGTGCTAGTGCAGGCGCATGGAAATGGGCTTCGTCGATATCATTACTGGAATCTTATGAAAAATAACCTCAGTACCGTATAAATTCAGCATGAAAAGCGACTTTGAAGTTCTCAGAAGGAAGAAAGAAAACTGAAGTATGAGAGTTTCACTAGGGTTTGTTTGTGACGTTTCAGCCGATACAAACGCCCGAGAGACTTGCAAAACCGTTACGTGCGTTTATGCGCGCATTTCTCGTCACTGGGTGGGTCCTCCAGCGTTTTTCTGAAATCCGTAACTGATGTGGAAATCTTTATTCCTCTCAAATGTTGAAGAAGTAAATGAGTGGAAATTGTCAGCGTTAACAGCTTAGCGATTCTATATTCTGCAGTTTATTCCTTAAGCGCGATTCTTTTACGATCTGTTACTGTTCCGCAGTGGTGGTTGCATAGCTGTTTCAGATTCGGTGGTATGGCGTCAGCCATAGGTGCAGGAGGTCGTGCACTTGGGTCTGGTAAGCTTGACGTTTTTTAGCTACTTTGAATATGTTTTATCTCGACTAAGGTTGTGCATGAGTAAGCTTCTCAATCACACGTTAGAACTCATGAATTTCGTTTTTCAGTGGGTAGCATGGTAGCAGAAGCTATGTTGTACAAAGCGTTGTCTTTGCAGGAGCACTGAACCAAACCAAATAGCATTATTTTCTTAACTTAGATTCTTCCTTATGGTACTAACTTTTGCGCCTGCAAAAACCATAGGTTTTCCCAACTTATGAGCATAATATGCAATTAATTGAAACGCTTGTCCAAGATTAATTTTTGCGGAGCAAATGGTCGTGAATAAGAAGGAAAGCAGCCAAGCACAAGATCTAAAATCGTAATTATAGTACACGATTAACGTCAATTTTTTATTACCACTATTTTTAAATACATTATGTGGCCGTTTTACTTCTGCTCAATTCAGTTTCCCGCATTGCTATCCGCGGAGCTGCAACAGCTGCGGCACCTGCCCCGAAGAAACCTGAGAAAACTTCTTTTGGGAATCTCAAGGACTCTGATCGAATTTTTACCAACTTATACGGTCGTCATGACTTTCGTCTCAAAGGAGCGATGGCTAGAGTAAGTCATTGTCAATATTATCTATGTGTACTTTTTTCACTTGTAGGGTGATTGGTACAAAACCAAGGACATCATTCTGAAGGGCTCAGAGTGGATTATCAATGAAGTTCGTACTTCTGGACTACGTGGAAGAGGCGGTGCTGGTTTTCCCGCAGGAATGAAATGGAGCTTCATGAATAAGCCATTTGACGGACGGTCAGTTCGACTCACCATTTTTATTTCTTATGCGCAAGTGCTTCAATGGTTTGTAGTCCTAAATACCTCGTGGTGAATGCAGACGAAGGAGAGCCTGGAACATGTAAGGATCGTGAAATTATGAGACATGACCCACATAAGGTAGCTGGTGGTTTCCTGGTCCTAATACGTTGTAGTGTATGTTTTTTCAGCTTATTGAAGGATGTCTTATAGCTGGTGTAGCAATGGGTGCTCGAGCCGCTTATATCTATATACGTGGTGAATTTTATAATGAAGCTTGCATTCTCCAGGAGGCTATCAGCGAAGCGTATAAGGTACTGTCGTCTGACTCTTTGTTTTTCCTTCGATTTTTCCTCAAGTTTTTCACTATTGTTTCTGGTAAAAGTTCAATCCAGACGAGTTATTCGTAAGTAATTCTTTCTACGATCAGAACATCATACCACTACATAGCAAAGCTCCGATGCTATTGTTGGTTGAACCTGTGAAAATTTCTGACCTGATTGTTTAACATATGTGAGAGATCTAGCTTTGCTTACTTTCCAACCTTTTTTTTTTCAAGTTGTACGATGTTCAAAGTGTTAGTGTTCAACCATGATATCCCTCTATGCCTCGAGGGCAATCGATTTTGACATTTCGTTCTCCTCACATCTGTCCTAAATATTGCGGCATTATCACTTAATCTATATCAAACAGGCTGGCTATCTTGGCAAAGACTGCTTCGGAACGGGTTACACATTCGACGTTTTTGTACATCGTGGGGCTGGTGCATATATCTGCGGAGAGGAAACGGTTGGTTTTCTGTTTAGTCATTTTGAAACTTTAGTTTGTGGCTGGTAGCTAGTGATATACACCGCTGTGAGCGAGAAGATGAAAAGTATTTCCGATCTAGGCAAAGCAAGCACTCTTCACTACTTTATTGCTACCAGTGTAACTTGATCAATTACTAACTTACCTGGTGGGCTTACTCCCAAGTCGTCTGAAGGCAGACACCTTTTGTAGCCTCTGCTCCGTGCATACACGCACACGGGTGTTGAAAAGTTTAATCTTCCATCCTTTATTCATCTTTTATCTACTATCTTCACCAGTACAACATAGATTGGTTAGCGCTAATGTCCGCAGCTATGTAGAACATGTCGGAGTTCTGCTTAGTGTAGGGTAATAAATACATGTTTATGACTAGCTATGGAGGACGGAACAAAATTTCACACAAGGACTCTAGAATTTGAATCCCATGTGTTTGTACATGAACAGTTTTCTCATGCAGTGAATTTGCAAGCAGTCAAAAAGAGTGTTATTACACCTTATTCTATATTCATCTAACGCCTGCTGGTCATTATGTTTTCTATAGTTAGTTTACAATCCACTGTTTTTCATAGCCTGCCTATTTGACCGATGGCAAAGAGGCGTATTTCTAGGCGTTGTTAGAGTCGTTAGAGGGAAAACAAGGGAAACCTCGCTTGAAGCCTCCTTTCCCAGCCGATATCGGTCTTTTTGGCTGTCCGACAACTGTCACAAATGTGGAGACCGTTGCAGCTTCGCCGACTATCTGTCGAAGAGGTGGGGAATGGTTTGCCTCATTTGGACGCGAGCGCAACCGTGGAACCAAGGTTGAGGATGTGCTTCCTACCAGTCTGGGAAACATTGAACAAGAAAGTTTAGCTTTATTGCATCTCTGGACATGTCAATCATCCATGTACAGTCGAAGAAGAAATGTCTATTCCACTGAAGGAGCTCATCGAGCGACACTGCGGTGGAGTCATCGGAGGATGGGATAATCTTTTAGCCATTATCCCTGGAGGCTCTTCCGTCCCTCTTCTGCCAAAGTTGGTTTAATCTGTCTTTGTTAGTATATTATCGTTAGCATCATCTTTGAAGGGAAATCTGCGATAACGTGTTGATGGATTTTGACGCTTTGATTGAAGTGAAGTCGGGTCTTGGAACTGCTGCTGTCATAGTTATGAATAAACAAGTATGTTTGCATTTTGCTGCTCTGCAATTTTCTGATGAATTATTTTCGGTATACGGTATTTATTAGGCCGATATCGTCAAGTGCATTGCTCGCTTAGCCAGGTTCTACAAACACGAGACTTGTGGACAGGTTAGTTGCGCACCGCAAAACATATAGAATGTGACAGTTGAAGGCTGCAATATCCGATATCCTACTTTAGTTCCTGCTTTAGTGTACGCCGTGCAGAGAAGGCTGCAATTGGTTGGACAAAGTCATGTGGCGGTTTGTTGATGGCAAAGCGAAAACAAGTGAGATCGACATGTTATGGGAAATCACCAGACAGATGGAAGGGCATACGATTTGTGCTCTTGCCGATGCTGCTGCATGGCCTGTGCAGGTCCTGATTTTAAATTTTCTTACTTTGTAAAGAATTGCTCCTTTTAAATTGATGGGAAATGCTCAATGCTCGGTCCATTAACACACAATCGATCATTGCTGAAATAATATGTGCGGTGCAGACAGTGACACAATTATGCAATCAGTCTTGAATTTTGCCACTTTGCGTGCATGTTCTCCAAATTCATGCTGAATGTTTTTTGGATGCCTGTAAGAGACACTTTGGAATGAACGCTTTCTCTAAAAATGCATTCCGGTGGCAAACCGGGAGACTCACTTTGTGGGCAGCGATTACCTGCGCTTGCCCGCTGCTTTACCCGAGCGACACCGATTTAATCTGGATCCTGTGGCTATGCCAGCATCCTGAGCGAACGTTCGCGCGCATGCATCAATAGGCACACGCCATAGTTGATCCACTCGGTCCTGTTCTACTCTGTGTAAGGCACTTGCCATACTTGGTCCTCTTGATCCACTCGATCCGCTTGATACACTTGATCCGCTTCGTGGAAAATGCGCACACACAGCAGTTTGTCATCTGGCGCCTCGTAGGTAAAAAGAAATTTTGTATGGTTGTGCAAATTCGCTGTACGCGACGCCGAATGATAAATTAGTGACGCGCGTTTTGCACGAAGCGGATCGAGCAGATCAAGAGGATCAAGTATGGCAGGTGCCTAAAAGCGCCGTGAGTAATTTGTCATTTGGCGTCGAGTGCAGCGAATTTGCGCAACCATGCAAATTTTTTCTTGCAATAGCATTAAACTGCGCTTATCACTGGGTTCTGAGCAGAATTTATTAAGTCAAGCATTTATTCCAAATTTACTCAAATTTAGTCCGAAATCAGCGCAGTTTGAGGCAGATGTTGCATTAGCAGCAGCGGCTGGCAATTACTATCGTTCCTCTTGCACCACACCCCAACCATTTCAGAATAAAACTACCTCGACAAGTTCTGGGAATTCTTATAACTTATCAATAAGCTTGATCAAGAATAAAGCGGTACTCGACATACTTGTTTATGAGTACGCCTCGTACTCATAAACAAGTATATCGAGTACCGCTTTATTTCTGATCAAGCTCGATATACTTGTACTCGATACTTATTCATGAAGTACCTGCTTCTGGGTTCAAAGCGCACGCCGTAGTTGATCCGTTTGATTCTTTCAACTTGGTCCACATGATCCGTTTGATCCATTTCGTATAAAACCCGTCAACACTTTGTCATTTGGCGTTGCATAGGTAAAAAAAATTTGTATGGTTGTGCAAGTTCGCTGTACACGACGCCAAATAACAAATTGCTTACGGCGCGTTTTACACGAAGTGGGTCGAGCGGATTAGGTGGATCAACTATGGCGTGTGCCTAAGATATCGATTACACTAGTATAAGACAATCCAAGTTGGGTGACTTGTTTAAGATCAATTTGTACTGGAACGTTTCAGGGTCTGATTCGCCACTTCCGCCCAGAGTTGGAACGTCGTATGGCTGAATTCCACAAACAAGTGCTTGCCGAAAATGCAACAAAGAAAATCCAAGCACACAACTGAAGCTTATGAAAGTTAGAATTAGTTTTCTAGGCAGGTAGCAATGTGACATACGTGCCCGTCATTGGTCGCCGTTTTTCTTCCGATGAAATGGACTATATAAATTTTGTGATCATTAGTATAGAAGAAATGAAATTTCTACAGGTGTTTTAGATGTTTGTAATGTTGATACGATCAAAATATCTGGTTTGGTTAGGTATCGTCGATTCGTTGAGCGCACGAATGGACATGACTGCGGAGCACGCGCCGCGAGGTAAAACGCTCGCCCCAATTCAAATTCGCCATTGCACAAATCGCGCTCTCGCAACATTTTAGCAGCGCCGCACGCGGTCCGTAGTGTTTGAGCAGTCCGTGCGGTCAGCGAATCAACGATAAGTAAAGCACGAATACAGGGCACATCAAGGGGCCCGTCATGTTTTGCCGAAAAAAAAAGAGCCCAAAAGCGCCAGAAGGAGCCGGAACGCCCCTTCCACGCACAAGTTTCGGCGCTAAGGCATGTGTGTTGATTTAGCAATCGAGTTTTTTTCACTTTATTTTTTGTTGTGCATCAAAATAATGTCAGAATTTTACCAGAAGTCCGTTCCGGCGTTCCGGCTCTTTCTGGCGCTTTTGGCCTTTTTGGTACTTTTGAGCTTTTTTCGGCAAAGTATGACGGGTACCATCGGCAATCGCTACAAAGTCTACTGCCGAGGGAAGAGCAAAAGCGGGAAAAGTGCCGCGGGCAGCAACATCATTGTGAACTCTGCGCCTTGTGCGCCCGGGTGAAAGATCCGCGTTCTCGCTTTTGGGAGGCGTCGTACTCAACCGGTTCATCCGGCTTACCTGTCCGCTACTGGTCAATTCAGTGACTTAACCAAAAGCGAATGGAGTGAACTGGACGAGTCGGTCGAACCAGGTAAGTATAGCGCCCATCTTCGGGTCTTGTGCCTTCGTTCGGCAGTGGTCAGCCAGCTTCGATGACAGTATGGCTCGCGCCATACTTGATCCACTTCGTCCACTTCATTTTCGCTATTGCTGAGAATACGAGTCCATCAATAGCGCAGTGGATCAAGTATGGAGTGGGCCCATCACAGCTCTAGCGGTTCGAGCTTTTGCTGGCGCGCCTTTCTCCTGCACTCGCAAAGGTATCCTCCGGGCATTTTCGCAGCATTTAATCGCCACTCAAGCGTTGGGCGATGTCAGGAGGATACGTCTGCGAACGCGGCGCAAGGCATGAGCGACCGCTAGTGGCCCCAGCTGCTGGTGCTGTGACACTGTCACTGAGACAGTCTGTACAATTTGTATGAGCTTTGACATACATGACGCCAGCTACCATGCGCCCATTGGTTCACAGTTCAAATTTGGCATCGGACAGTCGCGTTCGCATCGTCCAGTGGATTTCATCGTATGTCTTTTGCTTTTTGAGGGGTTTAACGCGACCGGCGACAAAACCAATTTTTGTGACTCGCATGGCTTCGCTTCCGACATTCCCGATGTCAAGGACAAGAAACTGACAGAGTGCGTGTTAGATGTGGTGCCGTAAATGACATGGCGCAATGAAGGGGAGGTGATTTTGCGCTGTTTGCGTGCTTGCGTTTCACATGTTTTGTAGTCTATCGTTTGCACCCGTTTCTTAACTCCGAGAAGTTTTCCTGAATTCACCAAAGTGGCTGGTCTACATGCTAATTACTTTATTCGTGCGTTATTTTTTCACTTGTTTATTTCAAACCTAGAATTGGCTTTTATTTAGATCCGAGCACATTATAGCAAAGTCAGAGTGATCTTTCGAAAGATCTCTTCTTAGGCTGAGGTCCTAAAGATTTGAACTTTCTGTCAAACAAGGGGCGAATCGAATATTCCAAGCATCACTAAGTCTAAGTCACAATATGCTGTGAATCGTGTCTCATGTGATTCCTGCTATCCCCGTTATCTTTGGAGCATTGGAAAGGAGGAAAGAAAAGGAAAGGAGTGCAGGGCATTCATCAACTCAACTCATTGTGGAAGCGGGAGTTTCCGCGCTCTATGGTAGCGGGAACCACAGGAATTGCAGAAACATAGGGACGGGGTAAATAAGTGGACGAACTCCGCCAGTTTAAGCCCACCTTCGCTGGGAGTTAGTCCTTTGCAATATGTTGCATGTCGTTGCAGGTCAGTAGTCCGCAGAGGTGGTTCAAACTGTCAGAGTTCGTTACTCTACCCGAATCATCGAAGAGTAGGGCAAACTAATCTAAATTATCTGGCTGTCGGTCTAAAGTTGTCGGCCTTGTGTTTTTCCTCATCACTCAGATGGCTGATATGCATAAGACTTTCAACGACACACTTCAAGGAACCATGGGTTTTGCTTTTTCATTCCCCGGGGCAAGCCTGCAGGTTGGCCGCCTATCGGCGAACCATATCTATTGTCACAACATCGATGCAAATAAGGAAAGCATAATGAAAACCACCACGTATGCGCGAAAAGAGCGTCTGCTTGTGTTGGCGACATACGGAAGAAATAGAGGGAATGCCAAAACGCTCATAAACACACACCCTCATCTAGTCGGAAACGCTGAATCATATCAGCTCTTGAAACACATATTCTAAAGTCACCATTCAATTCTGACTACTAATTGCACGAGTGCCACAAGCGCATTGTGTCAATCACGAAGACATGCGAGAGTCCAGGCAGTCGCACAGTTTGCTCCAGCTGCAGTTGGCGCCCACTTTGGTTATTAACAAATCACATCAGCTTTCACAGTCAAGGCGCGTTCTCTTTTGTTGAAAACCAGGCTGAATAGCAGTCCAATAAACTGCAATGAGCAGCAGACACACGCGGCGCTCGCCATGTGCTTGGTATTGGAGCACGACACCGATCGCAGTGCCTTCCGGGGGCGCTGACTAGTGCCACGCATGCATTTCGCCCTTTCTTGTTTACTATATCACAACAAGGCATTAAGAACGAATTTGTGCACCTATTGTTGATCGTTATACTCACTTTAGATCCCTAATCTTTTTGCCCTGTACTTCTGTGATGTTCAACCAGTTCTTTGTGAGGTCGCTTTCAGCTAAACCATAGTGAAATTAGACTGCCTAGCATTTGAACCAGCCATCTGACTCCGATATCTAATTGTTGTTCATTATCGTTGTTTTTTTACCGGTTTTCATCTAGCATTTGCAGCGTTATTTGGCGCCTTACACTGAATAAGTACTCATTCTGAGCATAGCATACAACTTCTTTTGTTGCTGGGCACATACAATACAAGTTAGTCATTTTTTTGTAGTTTATCTTTTTTGTCGGATCAGTTGCCCTTTTTAGATCGTTGATGTGAAGTTTCACTGCTGTGCATGTGATGCACTCAGATGAAAGCGTGATTTGCACTCTTTCTTTTTCATAGTTTTTTGGAAATCTTTGCGAAAAAGTCTTCTTCTTTTTGTCTTTGGAGGTTTTCTTCCTGAAAATTAGGATGCGAATCCATTCGAATACCAGCTAGCATCCGAAACTGTATTAAATGCTCAATATTAGCTTCAAACACCTATTTGAGAACCTGCTAGGAATTCTTGCTACATTTTTACCTCCCATATGAAGGCTTGATTACCACGATTCTATATCCCTGTTAACACTACACCTGAAATCGCTCCGTTGAACATTACCACTTTTGATGTGGCCTACGTTTGTAGAAAAACCAGTTTTTAAGCATCGACTTTTTGCTTGTTTTCATTGCCGTTACTTTCTAATCATGATCAGCTACTTTCGCATGTGTGTGCTGGCAACTCTTTCCCAATCTGCCGTTTGCATGAGCTTGCTAAGAGTTTTGACGCATACTCATTTATGCTACCTGTGCCCTCCATTTTATTTCCAGTGCGGAGCTAGCGCGAAAATAATTGCTAGTGCGTCATCTCCGCATATTCTGATGCCCCCGGTGAAGTACTGAATCTCTCGACGCGGAATTCTGTTTTTGTTGCTGCCGCCGCTATTCTTTATACGTTGCGTGTTTGCACTTACAAAGGTTCTATCTCATAGGTATCGCGATGCCATGATTGGGGAAACAGGAAGCATTGGAGAGTCAGACGTTGACGCAGAGACCCGATCTGCGCCCGGCGATCTTGGTGGCACCCCTAAACGCACACGTGCCACAAAATGGTAAGCTTTTGTATAAATTGCATTTCAACTAAGTGTTGGAATGCATGAGTTTCTTTTGAATTCAAATGATATGCGACTATCATCTGCTTTATACCCTGAAAATATTTGATGCTTTGATCGTAACCTCATTGTTTTGATGCTTCAGAAAGTCAAGAATTCACAGCGAAATTTGCAAAAGATGTTTGTTCCTCTAATTAGGCATTATTTAATCCGATTAAAGATTATATGTGTTAGTACTGTATGTAAGGCTATGAGAAACCACTAGTCGCTAATCTGATTCTCGAAAATTAAGTTCACGATATCATCAAGACGGAATATCGGCAAACATGCAGAGAAACAGTGTGCCATATCTGATTCAGAAAACCGCTTTCCTTTGAGTTGGCCGGTGCAGAGTTTCTGTCTGCTGAGTCCTCGTGCGGAAGTATGTGACAGCATTCTCTGACAGCAGCAATGCCGTCCAATTACTGCAGCAGCCGCAGTGATTAGCCAAAATGTGTTTAAATGCTTGTTCGTTGTGTCTTTTGTTATGAAGCGTACGTAGCTCACTGCGGTTGATTATCGTGGGGTCACAAACTTACAGAATCCAGATATGTTTTCAAGAACCTATGCATATAAGTCTTCAAAAACCTTACGCGCTACTATTGAGTTGTGCTGCGAACAGATAAGAATTATCAACTATGTAAGCCTGCGCTAGCATCTTTGGTGCACCTAAATGTAATCTTGTTTGCTGGCACAGAATGATTTTTTTTTGAGTTTCTATCTCTAATAATGAAGTGTTTTGTAGGAGCCACAGTCGCCAAGCCTCACAAGGCGTTCCATACCGTTATGTCGAGAAACCTCGTCGAATTCGTGACATTCGCGATAAACAATGGCAGGCAAGTCATCTTCCCCGTAATTGTCCAGTGCTTTGTCATCGAGTATGATTCATGAATTTGTAAATATGGTGAAAAGGTATTCAGGAAAAACAAAATGAAATCATTGAACTGGAGATGAGTGTGCTTGCACAAGAATCGCAGTGTGGGATTGGGAAATGGAGGTAAGTCCATTTCAGGATTGATTTATTATTTTTTGTTGTTACACCTGCAAGGGAGCGTCTTTCCGTGAAACATCATAGTGGTATTTTTTAAGTTCCGGACCATCAACTGCAGCTTGAGAGAGGCGGTCAGGAGCAGGTAAACATTGCCCTGAAGTCCACCAATGGCATTACTCTATGTAAAGTAGCAGCGTTTTCGCAAGTAAATGGTTTGGGCGAAATAAGTTGTTGCATTGGTTGCGTATTATCATTTAGCATAGATGCATAGCGCCCATACCAGAAATTAGTGTCCGCAGACGCAGACACGAAACGTCCTTCACTCTTTGCGTCAACTGGGCCTTATCGCTGAACCCCAATTTGGGCTTCGCAGCGCTCGCAAAGGGAATTTGTGGCTTTTTTGCGTCCTCCAGAAAAAGCGCGAGCGAGGGCACAGTTGCGACAAATGAGTATCGTCTCACGAAGTCGTTCTCATCTGTGATAGCGAAGTTACGTGCTGTCTAGTAAAGTGCTTTCGTGGCTCCTGTGTTATTGGTGAACCATGGGAACAATTTGGTGGATATTCCTCCCAGTTTCCGCACCCCTTCCCTCGTTGATGAAGCCTTATGGTTTTTCTTCGCTTGGGCATGATCAATGGGTTGAAAAATGGTCTATCACTTCCCAGTTGACAGTAATTCAAAATGGGGCTACACCCCGCCTTTGGATATTTGGCATTGTGAGTGTCCCTTTTCGCACTCTGCAATGTGGATCCGGTCCGCACTTGGTCTACTGACACCACCTCTCTGCATCTGTTTGAGTCTGCGTCCAGGAAGAGGAATTGTAGCATTGAGACAGTCGAGCTTTATGTGAAAATACATTTGCAATAGGTGGTACTTCATCTCGCCCATTATGGGCCTGAGTATTGAATGAGTTGACCGAATAAGTTTTGGTTAAGATTATAGCGTTGAAGTAACTGTTCCGTAAAATTTAGATACCGATTTCGCTTCTAGTAGGAAAAACGTAGAAGTTTAGGAAGCTTTTGCTTATGAAATGGGAGATTGCGAAAATAAGCAGGATGAGGTTATCTCGCGTTGGGTTTTCATTTTTTTTTGAAAAGATCATTTCTTTTGCATACTACATAGCTGTGGAACAAAAATGTCTTCTTTCAGTGGAATCGGACAACTGAGCGGGGCTTTCAGTGAGATGTTTACGATCTTATAAGAGTATAACCTCTTTGTAGGCCTCCTCGCCTATCATTTCTCGGCTCACGGAAATGGATGATATTCTTGCTGTGCTGGTACTGCGCAGTACAAGGTGTAATTGTCAATGGTCTCGTTCCTGCAGCGATCTCTTCAATTGAACGTCGCTTCAAACTTAGCACTAGCACTATGGGTCGCATCGTACAGGTTGGTTATTAGAAGATCCTTTAATGAGCTTCCTCTTAAGGAGGTATTATTGCAGTTCTATGATTTTGGATACGTTTTGTTTTGCATCCCGGTGTCTTACTTCGGTGGTCGGCACAGTAAACCGGTCGTTCTTGGTGCTGGATTAGCTCTTATTGCTACTGGTAGTATTTTGTTTTCTACACCGCATATGTTGGCGGATAGTTATTCAACAAATCAGGAAAATAAGGCCTATGGAACTTGCTCAATTCAAAGTGAGTCAAAATTTATCATCAACGAGGTTAGCTTATTGCTTTTTAGCACCCTGGAACATTTCTGATGCCGATGCAATGGCCTTAACCGCCAGTTGTGAGGCGGAAAAGCAGAACCAGGTACATTCGTTGTTGCATTTGTCTAATAGCTCATCAGGGTTCTGCTTAAATTTCAGCCAGGGACATTTCGTTATGTGGTTTTATTTTGCTTGGCACATTTTCTACACGGTGTAGGAGCGACCCCTCTTTACACTATAGGAGTTTCATATATAGATGAGAATGTAGGAAAAGCGTTGTCGTCGTTGTATGTGGGTGAGTGCTGGCCCATTCACAGAATGGGCATCAGTCGGTGAAATTGTTTTCTCTCTCGTGCATGTTCGACAATTCAGGGATCTTTTATTCGTTCGCTGTTTTTGGCCCAGCGGCAGGATTTTTGTCTGCTGGCTCTTTTCTTACATACCATACCGATTTCTGGCATCTTCCCGCTGAACAGATTCTGAGGTAATTGTTGATCATGTGTCATACTTGAGTTGCTGCAATAGATTGTTACTTTCATATAAATCCATTCAATCTATAGGGTAAGTGGAGATGAATCAGATCCCTCATGGGTTGGAGCTTGGTGGCTTGGGTTCGTTCTCGCCTCTGTGGTGGCCCTCGTAGCTGTGATCCCAATAATCTGCCTTCCAAAGGTGCTTCCCGAGTCATTGAAATGGCATAGGTAAGCACTGTGCATTATCACGACTTGATTATATACTGGTAACTGTGCTGTGGCGAGGTGATCGCTGTTTTTCAGGAACCGACTTGTCGAGACCTCCCAGACAACTCGAAGACGCACTCCTGAATGCTGCGGCCTTTCTGGCACGAATAAAACTGCAGCTCTCTACAGAGATGCTCCGTCGCAAGGTGCCTTCCCAAATGGTGTGCAGGGCATCATGTTAGTAGCGTTACTTTCAGAAGATTCCACGTTATTGCTAACAACGATTGCACATCGTGGGAGAGGTCCTCTCTGGTACAAGCTTTGGCTAGATGTTCGACACATACCGATTGCCATCTACCGAATTCTTACAAATGCTCCATTTATGTTGATTACACTTGCCATGGCGATTGACAGTGAGTCACTGTGATTTTTCCTGATTACTGATGCAAATATCTGACTCCATAAGTGCTCTTGGGCAGGTGCCAGACTCCGGTTCAACCGATTCATCGTGTCTACCCCATTCGTTGTTGGTCCGTTCAGTGATTTGACCAATAGCGTTCGTGGACCGACGAATCGATTGAACCGGATAAGTCTGGCACCTACCTCAGATGGCGATTGTTTGTGGGATGAGGGAGGAGTGCATTGTTAGTGCCTATCCTCAATTCTCTCCGCTTGAGTTTTTTAACCTATAATTACTATATCCATCGCTACTTTTTATTCGGGAGAAATTGTTATGTTGTTCATACTGTTCATTCTATCTAGGCTTAATCATCACTGGTGCATCCTCATTCATGTCAAAATACCTGGAGCGACAGTTCAGCGTTCCACCAAGTAACTCTAGTTTCCTCATCGGTGAGTGGTTGCTTTTCAAAGTTCAAAGGAGATTCTTGAAAGTGAAAGCTGATTATGTGTCACAGCAGCCACTTTAAAAGTTATGAGGACTTTCCAAATCCAGTTTTATTATGTGTTTGGAAAAAAGATAGTTTGGTCCAAATTGGCATTGTTCAAGGGTGTATTATGGTGCCAATGGCGGGAGTTGGGTGCATGATTTCTGGCTTTATCGTGCAGTATTTCCGCCTGAATTGCGTGACAACACTTAAACTATCTGTGGGATTGCTTTTCGTTTCACTGGTACTTACTCCAATGTATCTCATCTATTGCCCACATGATCCGCTTGTTGGAGTCGAAACAACTTATCCTGATCGGTTAGCTTTTCCTCAGTCTTCAGTTCCATTTCCGAACTCTTGTTTTCAGCGACGGTCACATGTCTGTGGGTAGTAACTATTCAGAAGTAGAGCCAACATTGCGAAGTGCTTGTAACTCACACTGTTTGTGTAGTGAAGCTGAATTCCACCCAGTATGCGCTCAGTATGCGGATGGACGGCAGCTTTCTTACTACTCACCCTGCTTTGCAGGGTGCTCGGAAGCGTATTCTCCTATGCAGAAGGTCATTTTGACAGAAGGCTTGTACGTTTATAGTTAATGTTTCTATCTTTAGTTCTATACTAACTGCTCGTGTGTAGTCGAAACAGCACGTCTGCAATTGCGTCAAGTTAAAAAGGGAATATGTCAGTCAAACTGCAAGGGACTTCTCGGTTTTCTTATCATCTTTGCCCCGTTGTCACTCTGTACCTTTGCCGTCGCTGTGCCAATCATATCGGTGATCTTGAGGTAAGTGTTTTGAATTGATAAGTTAAGTTTCTAATTTCTAGTGCTTTGCAGAACTGTGGATTACAATGAGAGATCTTTTGCACTTGGAATACAAGGTATTTTGGTCCGAATTATCGGTACCATACCGGCACCGGTGTTATTCGGTTGGATGTTTGACGTGAGCTGTATTCGATACCAGTCGGAACCTTGTGGTGCATCGGTACGGAACCTAGCATATAAAAAGGAACAGCTTGTACTTTTACGCTGTTTAGAGTGGAAGTTGCCTACTCTATTCAAATAAGCTACTTGCTGATCTGTATCTTACTTTTTCCATCGTTGGGCAGGTATCTTGTATCTAGAGTGCCTTTCAAACGTTTGAAATTTTCGTTGCAAGGCATTGTCAATGGTGATTCTAACCATTGTACTGATGGTTTACGGTGGAACCCTACAAGATGATCCGTTGCCCGATGTTCCGCTGAAGGAAGTGGATCACGTTGTTGAAGATGGTGAAAAGACGCAAACTGAAACAGCGGCGCCTCTTCTCCAGTAAATGCTTTTTTCCTGCCATCGCTTATGCTTTCAGTAGATTTGTAGTGTACGTCCTGTTATAATCTCAGACAACTTAATATGGATGAGCCTTCTCCTTCTTAATCTCATTCAAAGATTACATCCAGCGATACGACAAAATACGGTTATGTGTTTCATTGTCAACAGGTGCGATAATCCAAAAAGTTTCGGTTTTTCGATTTATTTGTTTTTTATCCTTGCATGCGTTTTAGACAGTGTATCCTTGGGTACTATTCCACGTCAGATGGGAGACCTCAAGATCTCACATCTCTCAAAATTTTGAGCATAGGGTACTGATTATGAAAGTGGTACTCAAAACTGATTATGACAGTAATACCCAATCTTCATGCCTTTGTTGTGAGCTTATGGCAGATGTATAGGAATGAAGTCTAAGCCTGATTCGCTGACACTATGCTTGGGAGATATTGGTGTGTTGATCATATCCTGTAGGGCTACATCGAGTCCCTGCCGTTCATCTGCTGTAACCTTAAAGCAAGGCTTTACCCTATCTAGTGGAATCTTATTCGGAGTCGCATGCTGAATAGTCAACCTGTGTAAAGTTTTGGCATGCTCTGAGATTGACCCCTTACCATATCCCTACCGCTAAAAAAGAAGCGGAGAGTATCACTTTTGTAAGGGTATGTAGAACATTCAAAATCTGTAAAGGTGTGTTTTTAACTGAAGTGGAATATCGCCTACTTTTATATCGAAACAGAGCATTTCTGTCTGTTTTATCTGTATTTGTAGTTCTACGTAATTTTACGGTTGAAAACCCCGAGTAGAACATTCCCGTTTGATATTGTCCGGTTTTATCCTTATCACATCGAATTTTATGTGTTGTAGGAAAGAGTCCTTACTCAATGATGCTTTAATCCTGTATTACCGGTAATATCTCTTGAGCTGTATTTTCGGTGCATAGTCTAAAGTCTATCAGGTTCTTGGTGATGCAGCATTGTTCTGGATATTCGATAAAAGTTGTTTTGTAAGTCGCTTCTAGCATCCACTCGATCAGCAACAAAACTGCCTCTGTATACGATACCGTTTAAAGTCACTGGCAAAGATGACCAAATCACTTTGGCTGCGTTCATACTGATTCCCATGTTCTGGAACTGTTCCCGCACAGTTCTCGCACTGTGCTGAGACTGTGCGGGAACTGTGCGGGAACAGTTCCAGAACTGTGCTTCATGCGCTGCAGCCGCCCCGCACCGTTTTGAACGGCGGGAGTTGGAGAATTTTGACCGTTCTCAACGGTTTTTCTTCCAGATTTCGCTCATTTTGGCCTTAATTCTCCACCCCGCTTCCCTTTTTGATCAGCAGCACTGCGAACTCGAAGCGGGGTTGAAGAATGAGCGCTTTTCTGCGCCGTGTATTCGGAAAGATGGGCTATCGTGCGATTGTTCATTCTGTCTTCTTCTTTTTTGCTAAAAACTACTTCATTTGTTCCAGGAAGCGGCTGCCCAGTTTCCATAGCCATCTGCCACGAATTAGGGAGTAGGAGAAATCCTGAAATTGCATGAGTTGGGACTTGTCTCTTGTTTTTCATGATTTTGGGCGTTCTTAGCCTTGTTCGTTTTTCCATGTCGTTGCTTCTCCGTTCTTTCTTCTACCCCGCTTCTAGTGATGAAAAGCTATGAATTTGAAGCGGGGTTGAGGATTGAACGCTGTTCTGCTCCATGTATCCGGGAATATGGGCCTTTGTGCGCTCGTCCATTCTCTCATCGCTATTTTTGTTCAGACCTATTCATGTGTACTAACAAGTCGCTGCGTAGTCTCGCTTTTGTATTGAAATTGAAATAGACAAGTCTCTGGAACAAATGAAGTAGGTCTGAACAAAAATAGCGATGAGAGAATGGACGAGCGCACGAAGGCCCATATTCGCGGATACATGGAGCAGAACAGCGTTCAATCCTCAACCCCGCTTCAAATTCACAGCTTTTCATCACTAGGAGAAGCGGGGTAGAAGAAAGAACGAGAAGCAAGACATGGAAAAACGAACAAGGCTAAGAACGCCCAAAATCATGAAAAACAAGAGACAAGTCCCAACTCATGCAATTTCAGGATTTCTCCTACTCCCTAATTCGTGGCAGATGGCTATGGAAACTGGGCAGCCGCTTCCTGGAACAAATGAAGTAGTTTTGAGCAAAAAAGAAGAAGACAGAATGAACAATCCCACGATAGCCCATCTTTCCGAACACGGCGCAGAAAAGCGCTCATTCTTCAACCCCGCTTCGAGTTCGCAGTGCTGCTGATCAAAAAGGGAAGCGGGGTGGAGGATTAAGGCCAAAATGAGCGAAATCTGGAAGAAAAACCGTTGAGAACGGTCAAAATTCTCCAACTCCCGCCGTTCAAAACGGTGCGGGGCGGCTGCAGCGCATGCAGCACAGTTCTGGAACCGTTCCCGCACAGTTCCCGCACAGTTTCAGCACAGTGCGAGAACTGTGCGGGAACAGTTCCAGAACATGGGAATCAGTATGAACGCAGCCTAAGACTTTTGACCTCCAGTTGCACAAAGATAAGTCTCGAATGCCATGAATAAGGGAATTTTTGAAGCACGTTTAGCACTTTTGCCCTTATCTAACATAATAGACCAGTTTTTATTCGTGCAGAAATTGTCTTCTCTAATTCCGCAGCATCACTAGATTCAGAAGTTGGTGACACTTTCGTGACGGTAAGTCTTGCTGTTTGAATACTAGAAGGTTTTATTCTTTCTCAATTCGCGACAAGAATATTATGCTCTGTCCTTTTCAAGATTTCTTACTCACCTTCTTACTCGTTTCATAGCGTAAGTTGGTTGCTTCGCCCTAAGCTGGTGGGAAGTTTGATTCCTTTCAACTTAACAGAATCTAAGAGACACGTCAATATAGCTCTGGAACGAATGCAAGAAAAATAATCGCATTGATTAACCAGCAGACGGGAATAAGCCGATCTATTTCTTCGAAAGCGAGTCTTCTCGTGATCTGACTGATTGATTCAATTCTGAGAGGGTGCCTTTCTAAATGGATGTGGTTCAGCACTATACTTGCAAGCCAGTGGTTGTAGAGGCTGAACTCTACGAAGCCCTCGTTGTGCGAAGATGATCATAGTGCAAACGGTCTTACTACTCACCAAACCGGACGAAGTATCGAGGATTTTTCCATTCACCTGGGTGCATGAGGACGCTTCTAATGTTCTTTACTCGTCATAATCTTTCTCCCAAAGTAAGGTGCTAGAACAACTTTTGCTTGTTGCTCCAGCCCGCAAATAAATCATGGGAAGATGGTTTTTCTCTCTGCATCCGTAACCATGAGTATGGTATGACTTCCCAGGCGTACTGGTCATCCTAGTTTAAAAGCATATAAAAGAGCTGTGGAAGAACAAATGTTAACCTTTGTGCATGTTCAGACAATCGATGCCGTAGCTCCGGAGAGCAGTCGAAATCTGGCAGAGCTCCGGAGGGCCCTCTTAAAGGCAGTGTCCGGGCAAAAACTCGATTTTGAGATTTTGTGCTTACCCGGGCCTATTCGCTATGCTGAATTTGAAAATCCACATTGGAAAGCGCGAAAACGACGAAAAAGGGCTCTAACACTGGAGGGAAATCAGTAAGTGGGCTGGGTCTTCCCCACTGTGAATTCACGCTCCCAGCTTCGGGGGGCGATCTTTTTGATTCCGGCAAGTCATTCGTTTGCACTTGATCGGTAGTGATGTCAGAGCGGCTAACGGATTCGAGAAAATTGCTCTGAGAGCTGGAAGCGTGAATTCACAGTGGGGAAGACCCCGCCCACTTGCTGATTTCCCTCCTGCATTAGAGCCCTTTTTCGCCGTTTTTGCGCTTTCTGGTGTGGATTTTCGGATTCGGCATAGCGAATAGGCCCGGGTAAGCACAAAATCTCAGTATCGATTTTTTGGCCGGATACTGCCTTTAACCATTGAGGAGGCGTGGCAAGGGGGCGGTCTCTTCTTGTGACGTCACGGTGAAGTAACGCTCCGGAGGTGCGCCAGATTTGGAGGAGCCCCGAAGCACAAAATGGGAGGGCTCCGGAGCACAAAATGGGAGGTTTCCGGAGCAAAAATGGGAGGCCTCCGGTGCATAAAATGGGAGGGCTCCGGAGCACGAGTGGCAAACCCCACCTGGCAGACCCCGGCACCCTCCCGTTTTGTCCTCCGGAGGTATGCCATCGACTGTCTGATTGAGAAAAAATAAGTGTAAAAACTTCAAATGCAGTCATGGAATCCAAAAGTATCACTCACCAACAAAAGTTTCCCGTTCCATACACTTGCAATAGCTGTAAAGGGGATGCATCGCACTCTCGTGTCTTCAGGCATGCGAACGCAATGCCGCTTTTCAGTCGCCACATCACACCACTTCCTTACTCACATGAAAGAACAGTAAGCGATGAGCAACTGCATGTACGGCAATGTGCCAGAGTGAAACATCATGCAAGAAAGCGAACGAAAACATGAGCACGTTAAACTCCAACATGCACCAAGGCTCCTCCTGGGGAAGGGCTAAATGCACTCATACTGAAATAATGTTTGAGACATGAGTAATCATAATAAACGAAGAGGCAGCTATCGACTCTGCTCCAGCGCTAATACCGCGACGCTCGCAGCAGTCCGCAAATGCCCCACCTAATCTAGCGAAAGGGGGCAAACGATTCCTGCATGCTAGCAGTGTTGCACTAGATAATCAACACAACTCTGTAATATTTTATTGATATTAGAGGATTTATGATTCTGAAGAAATGACGGCCAGGCGCTGAGGATTGCTTGAGAACCACACAAAATACAGTCTGTCCCAATCGGGAACAGGCTGGACCGTTAGGTAAATTTGCGCGCTCGCAGCGCTAGCGGTTTGAGCAGCATATGGCACCGGCCATACTTGATCCCCTTAATCCACTTGATCCGCTTGGTCCGCTTCGTGCAAAAGGCGCACATAGCAGTTTGTCATCTGGCGCCTCGTAGGTGTACGGTTACGAAATTCGTTGTACGCGACGCCAAATGGCAAATTAGTGACGCGCGTTTTGCACGAAGCGTGTCAAGCGGATCAAGAGGATCAAGTATGGCGGGTGCCTATGGGTTCTTTCACACTGCCGCACTGACTGCAGCTGACTGCACTGACCGCAGCAGACTGTAGTTGACCCGCTGACTGCAACGACCGCAAAGATGGCTCATCCTTTCTATGGTGGTTCATTGGGATTCCTTTCGCCCTTTTCGTGCCCCTATCAACACTAGGGGGATTAGATGGTTTTATTCAGCAACAAAATAAGCCAGTATCTCCGGCACACGATAAATATAGAACTGACGAGACATCGGCCAAAGGAGGCTGGCCGAAGCACAAGGAGTCAGCCATGTGGCAGGCTCTTTGTGCCAGAAATGAGTAACATAATCAAGTGTAAACAAATTGGGACAAAGAGTTAAGTTCGGGTTCTGTCTTCACGACACTTCCATAAAAGAGAAAACAACTGCATTTAGGTCAAAACACCCTGATTTACGCCTAGGTAGTTCATGGGTTCTCACTTACTCTTCTCAGTCAAATTTTGGCGATTGTTTTTCTTTGGTATGCTTATATTTGTTCTGATTCTCCTGTTATCACATATACCTGTTTTACTCTCGCTCATGTTGTCTTTTGGGTCTAGGCATATATTGTTATTGTTAGAGCTACAACTGCTTATCCTCCCACCTTTTCGAAAGGATGCAGCGATCTGTACGACCCTTGCGGTCAGTGCGGTCATGCAATCTGCTGCAGACTGCAGCAGACCACAGCTGACTGCAGTCTGCTGCGGTCAGTGCGGCAGTCTGAAACAACCCTATGGACTTCGTAAGAGAGTGCGAAGAAACAGCAGACGAGCGGGCCGAAGGCGTGACGCAAAACCCCAGCGAAGCGAACTCCCGCCATGCTAAATTTGGTCTGACTGGGAGTGGGACAGACTAAGGGCCGCATGCACTAACATCCTCGCGGGGAGGGGATCGCAGCTTAAAAGAATGCTTTATATTTCGAAACCCCAGATACCTGCATTTTACGTTGTGTACCTATCCGTAAGTATTCCTACTACCCTTCACTATGAACATGTTGAACAGGAGCGAGAAGCTGTACGAACCGCATTTTCCAGCTTTTGTATGATCCCTGATGATCCCCGGCGCTTTTCTTTGAAATCATATTTCTGTCTCCGATGTTAACGAAAAACCTCCAAAGTTGTGCAGATTATCTAAACCGACAGTGCTAAGCATGTTGCTGATAAGAACAAATGATGTTTTGAAGTCATGAAATTTTCGATGATCCACAGGTCGAAATTTGAGGTTTGCCGGAAAATTCGACTTTTTAAAAACTCATTTGTTCTCATCAGCAACATGCTTAGCACTGTTGTGTCAGATGTTCAGTACGACTTTGGATGGTTTTCGTTAACTTCGGAGTAAGAAAAATGACTTTAAAGAAAAGCGCCGGGGATCATCAGGGATCATACAAAAGCTGGAAAATGCGGTTCGTACAGCTTCTCGCTCCTGTTCAATATGTTCATAGTAAAGGGTAGTAGGAATACTTACGGATAGGTACACAACGTGAAATCCAGATATCTGGAGTTTCGAAATATAAAGCTTTCTTTTAAGCTGCGATCCCCTCCCCGCGGGGAGGTTAGTGCATGCGGCCCTAAGTTGGAAAACGCGGTCTATACACCCAAACACTTCTGCTCAATATGTTTACAAGTAAATGTGTTGAGCAGAAATGAAATGCAGATTTTTGGAGCACCAATATTCAAAGCTTTCTTTTCTGCCACTGGTTTTTCACAGTCATGTGAAAGTGGATGCTCCTGGCCATAGCACCGCGCAACTGAAGTTAGGATCATGGGGGTGCTATAGCGAACCCTGCCTCTCGCTGGCGGGAACTGTTCTATTCGTCCAAAAAGGGAAGAGTTATTCTCACCGTTCCCCTGCTCACTATAGTGCATTCGGATTTGGAGAAAAAGGTAATGGTAAAGAAGTATTGAGCTTGCCCGGATACTGCTTGTTGCATGCGACCTCCACTGTTTACAAAACAATGTTGATCGCGCCTTGGGTAAGTTAGCGTCCAAACAGATCAGTCGTCAATAGCGTCATGTAGCTGCGTATGTGCTTAAAGGCAGTGGCTCAGCAAATCTCATCCTAGTCAAATTTCCGCTTACCTAGGAGTATTCAATACGCTAATCTCGAAAATCCACTTTTGAAAGCTTGAAAACGGCGAAAATAAGCGCTTTCTAATGCCCTTCCCTTTGGAACTGGACGAGTGGAGCAAGGCCGATGACGCTAAATCGTTGCAGGACCCCATGGTTATAGCGTTGCGGCGGGCAGCCTCCAATGGTGAGAAGGAAATTGCCAACTCGTCCAGATGCGTGTAAGATTGGCCTGCGCGTGTAAGTTTGAGAGCGATTTTTTCGGCAGGGAAAGCATGCTGTGCAACCGGGATTGCACTGTTTTCATACTTGGGCGATAAGGAACCTACCGCGTTAAAATCCGGAGTTGTTGGATTTTGCCGATCCACTGCCTTTAAAACATGTACACGACACCTCCCTTGCTTTTTTCTCCAGGACTGTTTCCAGCTGTTTGGGTTGTTTCATACTGCCGCACTGACTGCAGCAGCAGACTGCAGCTGACTGCACTGACCGCAGCAGACTGCAGCTGACCGCACTGACCGCAACGGCCACACAATCGCTGCATCCTTTCGTAAAAGAGAAAATAGTTGCGAATACATCAAAACACCGTGTTTTACGCCTAGAAAGTTCATAGGTTCTAACTTACTCTTCTCAATCAAATTTTGCCGATTGTTTTCCTTTAATATGCTCACATTCGTTCAGATTCCTTTTGTCATTGCATAATACCTATTTTGCTCCTGCTCGTGTTATCTATTAGGGCATATACTGTTAAGAGACTGTTTGAGCTACAACTATTTATTCTCTCCACCTTCACAAAAGGACGTAGCGATCTGTGCGGCCCCGCGGTCAATGCGGTCAGCTGCTGCGGTCAGTGCGGCAGTCTGAAACAACCCTTTGCCATCCTCGTCCCGGACCCTGAATATGATACTCAATATGGTGGTCTTGCGTCCGACAACATCTGCACACAAACAATGGCCACGGGCACTGTTGAAAATGTGCTCTTTGTGGACAGTCTTAATCTGCGTGTTGCTATCGCATGCATTCCGCGCAAGTGCCGTTGCCTGAGCAGTGGTATATCAATAGCCGAATGTACTAGAACATAGCCGACGTTTTGATAAGTTAAGTGCTGTTTATTAGCGAGATTTCTATTAGCTTATATTCAGATGTCCGTTAAAAGACAACTCGATATGCATCGCAAAAAGCGTTGGTGACCAAGTATGTTTTGTAAAAACCCGCAACTTTCGAACTCAGCATCGGAAACGTCTCTCCTGGATGCTAATGAGTCCACACCGTCACAATTCGAACAACAATCACAAAGTTTTATAAATTATCCTGGTACGTGTTTGCAAAACACGGCACATAGAAGGCTCACCTTTTGTACACAGAAGCGTGCGTATGCGGGAATCTTGTGTTGACCGAAGATTTAGCGATCATTCAGTGGATCAAAATGTGGTTTTCTTTTCATTTAATCTCTTTATCTTTGTCGTTTATCTTTGGTTTCATAATAATCACTGTATGCTTTTGTATACTCTCAAAAGATTTGTGTCATCTCTCAAAGTCTTGAATGTTTATGCGCAATTTTGATTTCCTTTGACATGTGAGGGCTGCTTAGAATTTCTGCACCAAGTCTCGTTCGCTCAAATGGGAAATAGCTGTAATGTTTGATGAATGCCTTGCTTGCAGGCAATTTGACTATTGCGCGAGCTTTTGCGGCACTGTTACGCACGTTACCTTCCTAACAGTGCACATGCTAAGACTTGAGGCTAGAAATCGCAATGCATGTTTTTTTGCTCATCATCTTTCTCATTACTTTGCTTTTTATCTATGATTGGGGATTATTCTGCTTTACAGACTTTGCTGTTAGATTTTTTTGTTCTTATTTTTCATAGCGCTTCATATGATGGGCGTTCATTGATGATGCTGAAAGTTGAATGCTTTTTTTACAGGTATGCCCCTACCCATATTCGGCAAATCACACAAGTCTCCAGCCGATGTGGTGAGAAATCTGAAGGAGGCTCTCGTCGTTGTGGAGAAGGTTGTGAGCGGATTGAATCTTCAGTTATTAGATGCGATTTTTTGGTTACTTATCTTCATACCTTTGAACTTTCCGAATAGTATCAGTAATTGCTTTTCTTTTGCACTTGTTTATGAACAGAAACAATTAGTACCGACTGAGGAAAGTTGAAGGATATAAACTATTGTACTGGATTGTGAGGGTTGCTTATCATTACCTCCAAAGAAAGTCCAAGCTCAATAAGTCGTAGAGTTGATTTTTCTTTGATATTGAGATTTGGGATGTGGATGGCAATGATGGAACGTTTTTTGATTGTTTAGACACAGGGTGACAGGAAAAGTGACAAAGCAGTAGAAGAAGTTAACAAATGGCTTCAAATGGTAAAAAGCATCATTTACGGGTCAGAAACGCAGGATCCTCATAGTGAGCAGGTATCATAGTTATTTATTTTTGTGTGAACGTGATGAGTGTTCAAACATTACAGGTGGCTCAACTCGCTCAGGAGACTTATAATGCTAATGTTCTTCCAATGCTCATCAAAAATCTGCCTAAACTCGATTTTGAAAGCAAGAAGGTCGTTGACTAAATTCATGATATCTTCGCTTACACACTTCTTTCAGGATGTTGCCCAGATATTCAACAACCTCCTTCGTAGGCAAATCGGAACCCGATCGCCTACTGTAGAATACTTAGGTGCACGTCCTGAAATGCTGGTTCTCCTTGTCAATGGGTACTTTCTATACTTTTATTTTGCTTTTTGCTTTTAGTTGCTGTTTTAGCTACGAAAATGGTGACATCGCCGTTACATGTGGTCACATGCTTCGTGAATGTATCCGCCATGATCAGTTAGCCAAGGCTTGTTCACTTGCCTTATATCTAGCCCCATATTTATGCAAATTTTATTGCTCTAGATTCTGCTGCAGCATGAATCTTTCTACAAGTTCTTCACCTACGTCGAGCTTTCTGCATTCGACATTGCCTCCGATGCCTTTGCTACGTTCAAGGTAGAGCTTACACTTCATTGCAATTATACCGTACCGCTAGGATCCAAATGTACCTTCTATGTTGCTTGGTGAGCGCTCCTGTTTTTTCTTGACCTTGTTCAATTAATAACGCAATCCAGCACAAGGGTGATTGGCATGTTGGTGGGCCGGCTATGTCCGGCAGACTAACATGTGTTCTACAGTATCAAGGAGTTCTGGGGAATGAACACCCGCTTGTATTCAAAACTCGTTCTCATCAAGTTCTACTGTTTCTTCAGGATTTGATTACCCGGCACAAGACTTTGTGTGCCGAGTTTCTCGACGCTAATTACGATAGGTTTTTCGCTGAATACCAGAAACTGCTCAACTCGGATAATTACGTGACGAGGCGCCAGTCTCTTAAGGTTTCTCGCATAATAGTTACCTTTTGCTCTGCTCAATGTTTGTTTATAGCTGCTCGGCGAACTCTTATTAGACCGCCACAATTTCAATGTGATGACGCGATATATATCGAATCCGGAAAACCTTAAACTAATGATGGAGCTGCTTCGGGAAAGGAGTCGCAGCATTCAGTTTGAGGCTTTTCATGTATTCAAGGTAAGTAGCACGTAGCTGTGTTATTTCTTTTTTCAAGGAAGGGGGGAAGGAGGATTTTCACGAGTTTGACTTTGAAGGTTGATTTGATAAGCAAGTAACGCCAGTAGATGATGAATGCCAACACAACCCTGAGTGGAAAATCTTCATTGCTTCAGGGACCCTCTTTGATCTTTCTGCTGATGTTTAGAGGCTCTCGTTCAATTTGATTAGTAGTAATGAAGTTGCCGAACCGGCCACACTTCAAGGTGGACGCGATAACGAACTGTCAGTGCTTTTTCAGGTTTTTGTTGCGAATCCTAACAAGCCTCGACCTATTGCCGACATCTTATTGAGGAATCGTGAAAAACTGGTCAGTAGTTCATCTGTGGTTGAGGTCCCTTCTTATTGCGCACGTTTCAAATGTTCAGGTTGATTTCCTTGCTCAGTTTCATACTGAGCGCACAGATGATGAACAGTTTAACGATGAGAAGGCGTACTTGATAAAGCAGATTCAAGAGATGAAGGCCTGAGGTCGACAGCGTTCCATCACATATTCCTTGTAATATTTTTGTTTTGTATCCTTTGTATCACATTATGATTTGTGCGAGTTCTGTTCCCTGTTTTGAAGAGGTTAAAAGCTTCGTGAAAACCTCTAGTCTGTGAAAAAGAAATATGTATGAAGCTATTGTCCACAGAATTCTTCCACTTCATCTTCTGTGGCTATTATCTCCGATTTCCGTTCGTTCCATGATGCACCTTTTGTATGTGCTTGGTATTCGATATGACTTCCATGTGATTTTAATAGTAAATTATTTGAAAGTATAGGGTAACCGTAAGATACATTAGTTAGATGTAGAATGTGCACCAACGAATTTTTCATAGCACATCTCTTTGTGTTGCTCCATACGGTTCTCAATGAATATTCATGTCGTTATAAACAACATTGTCACAACCAACCAAGTAAGTGTGTTCCAAAGGAAAAATTAAGCAAAATTAATGAACACTTCTAAAAAAGTTAGCTAATTTATTTGCTGTAAGTACATACCGCAACATGTAACATAATCAAAAGAGTGAGAAGTCATTCGAAAATTCGACAAGAACTCAATCAGTGAATATTGCCTTATATTCTGTATTTTACACAAAAATTGAAAAGCAATCTTGTACAAAAGTAGCTCAATATGACAAATCAATTCAAACGTTCTAGGTGAAGAGCATTAGCATGTAAGACGCTAACAAACTGACAAGAACTGGAAAGAAATGAGCAAGGCAAAGGAAGTTCTATAGCTACTGATTAAAGTCACCAAATCCAGCACCTCCTCCAGGGCCCTTCCCAGATAGTTCCAACTGTGAGTCAATCATCTGAACTTGTACATTACCTGTGTAGCTTATAAGGGCATAGCTTACCTGTAGAAGCTCTTGAGGAGAGGGAACTCTACCGCTTTCAAGTTTACTCCATATCTGCTCCTTGTCCATAAAGATCTCGAAAGCCCCTGTTGATAATAAGGTGCTTTCCACCATATTGGTTAACAGAAACAGCATCATGCACGCAGAGATCTGTACATGAATTCAAAGTAATATAGACGTCATATGACTGATATAATATGTACCTTATTTGACTGTGCCCACTGCAGGATTGAAGGCTCGCCCATTCCGAGGCTGGTAAAAGGATTTCTGCCAGTAATGACAACTGCGATCGCAGCAATTTTCAAAACGTTGATGGTCTGCAAGAAGTTATCCTCAGTAATGATAAATCAAATAAATCATTAGGATTACATGAGCTAGGTACTCTTTCCACTTGACAGGAGGATAATTGCTTCCTTCAATGGGCATCTCAGGATATTTGTCGCGAACAGCCATCGAGAACTGTTCAAATGCTTGCTTGTATCCGCATGATATGCTAGAATCAATTTGTCCAAGTATGAGCAAAACTAATTACATGCCATAAACATATTTCTTTGACGATTTTTGCAAAAATCCCATACTGACCTAAAACAGCGGCGTGGTTCAGAAACATATATTTGGCAACTTCAGTAACAACGTGCCGCTGATTTTTTCTCAACAATCAGATCGAGAAAAGAAGTTGAAAAGATCCTGCCTTCAACATGGCATGTGGTTGCACATAAAGCGTCAATTAGTAATGGTCCTATCATTCACCCAGTAAAGCAGAAAAGAACCGAGTATATGCAAATCAAACACAATGATGTTGGGTAAAAGAAGTAAAGACTTGATTTTCACTGAGTATAGAAATCGAATACCAACCAGTATAGGAATCGCAGTGTCGGCAGCTTCCTTCCAGTAAGAATTTTCGGTTTAACGTTTGAAAATTGGGAGCCATCACGCACTTCTACATGATCTTCGCCACCTTGGCTAAAAGCCAAATAATCAAAGTCAAAAAGAGTCACTGCAGTTTACCTGAAGCTGTCTTGCTGAGGCTCATCACCAAATTCTTTTCGGAATTCTTCCGCGTCATGTTCGTCTTCAGAGTGAGCTGGAACTGTACCTGTGAATTCTCACTAGCCCATCATAATCATGAAAATCTGTCAGTACGTTCATTCTCTGAGTAATCAGAGTGAAAAATGATCTATGTGAAAAAATACTCACCTTTAACAAACACCTCTACCATCGACATTGTAAACAATGCTAATAGAAACAAATATCCTGTTCTACCCGTCATCCTGTAACACCGAACTGCCACTAGTGTAGCACGAATCGGACACTACAGGGTATTCACGCAACAATGTCCACCGCTGAATCGTTTTTTTCCCGTTTGATGCACGGCGGTAAATTGTCATGGACGCAGAGCACTTGCGGTGTGACAAGTCTACAGTGCTCCGAAATTGGAAAAGATCTAAGCTTGTTTTGACTCTGAACATCACGGCTGAGTACTTTTTATTGTGTAATGAGATAGGTTTTGCAAAGTGGTTCCGTCATTTAATGCGGTAGAAATATCTATGGAACTTGGCAATGTTATTATATTTATCAATGCTTGTACAATTATGCTAGAATGCAAACCTTGTGGTGTATCATGCTGTGAGTTCAGCCCTCGGATCGTTCAGTCTATGGACATCAAAGAAGGATTGCATACGTTTACAAATGAGAGCGTATCATCATCCATACATGCGAGCAGTAGCATCTTGCGGCAAAGCTCTATACACACTCAAGAGTTTTTACATGTAGTGGCCCTGTGGCCTAATGGATAAGGCGTCGGTCTCCGGAGCCGAAGACTGCAGGTTCGAGTCCTGCCAGGGTCGGGAGATTTTGCTCAGCGCGTCGATGCGATTGCGCTCGAAGCGACTCCAAGCCTCATTTATTTCTCCTGTGCCTTCATTGAAACGTTTTTACTCGGCCAAACTTAACGCGATTTTTTCGAACATTCTGCGATTCGCGAGATGTTTGCGGTTTCCATGATCTCATTTATCATCCTTAAGGCGCACACCTTTACAATGAACACCCCAGCAATGAGTGAGCTCCCCTTTCCCCGCCCTTCTCGTTTCCTCTTTCTGCTCTGATCTCGTCCTAGGCAAGCCTGCTGTTTGTGACTGAAAAGAGAACTCCGCAAAAGTTATCATCATTCTATAAGCAGTTTCCGCGTTCCACGATGATGTGAATAGGGGCGCGGGTCGCAGGAATCACATGCAGCAACCTCCGAGCTTATATGTCTCGGATATGATAGTGCACAATCCGCTCAGCTTCACGAATGGCGTCATCCTAAAGTTTCTGTGCAACCACGGTTGATGAATTCGTTTCGATTTCTGGAGAAATAATCTGGATCTTCCCCGACTCAAGCTATCCTAAAAGCCAGTGCGAGGTACTTGAAGGCAGTGACTCGACAAATCCTAGATCTGAACAATTCCTGCTTGTCTGGAGTCATTCGAGGCGCTGGTCCCGAGAATCCACCTTGCAGAATGCCAATATAGCGAGAATCCTTTATTTTGAATTTGGACGAGTGGGGTTCCCGCAGGTTGTAGACGCGGAGTTGTTGCGGGATCCTATGGTTATAATATTGTGGAGCGCCTCCAACGAGTGTATTTCGCCGATCCAATCCGCGCGGACGGCTGGTACAAATCTGTAAGACTCTTAAAATATGGAGCTATAGCTTTCCCGGATATCCTGAGCCGCTAACAAATACTCTCGTAAATAAACTTAATGTTAGAATCGCTCGAGATCATTCCCCGAATTTTTTTTTGGAGTTTAAGGACAGCCGAACTGAACAAACCTGGCATCCAGTGGCGTACCGAGGGGGGAGGGGAATGGGCCGCGAAATCTTGAAAACTTGCAAGGATAGGATTATGTCGGGACGAAGCGGGTAATAGCTGCGTCCCGACAATTATAAAAATGCGAACCTGACTTGTTTTTACTTGCGAATAATCAAAAAAATCTCCAAAAATTCTTTAAAAAAATCGAATTAGCCTTGTTAAGAAAATCTTTCTCTGGGCGAGAATGCCGCCACGCCTCTTTTTAGTTCTTCGGGGTTATGAGCCCGCAAACATCTTGGAAATCCGAAAAAACTCATCAAAATCCCCCCCCCCCTCTACCGGAAATCTTGGGTGCGGGAGTGCATGTCGTGGACCGCTTCTCATTATTATCGATCGATGTCGGTTCTATCGATTTTTGCAAAATTTGGGATACGGGGCAGGGAGTTGCACAGGGGGGCGGGGCAAGTGAGCAACGAAAATATTTTTGACAGGGCCGGGCGGAGCCGGGTTTGCCACCTAGTAGTAAGTATGGAAAGATCACTAGACCGGAGCGGCGGCTCCTACTAGCGGAAACTGTTCCTTACCCTTTTGGAAGTATTGCAATTGCGAGGAAATATATGAGAGTAGTTGGCTTACCCGGCTCCGCCCGGCCCTGTCAAAACACTGTAATAAAGGTCCTATCCCTATCCCTGTACAGCCTTTCCCTGTGCCCACTTCTACACTTCATTTCCCATTCCCTGTGTTGTTTTCGAAATCAGCATGCCCACTAACCCCCTGTGCCAACTCCTAGCCCTGTAGATCAAACTTTGCAGAAAAATCGATAAAATTGATAGAAGTAATGGATACCTCTAAAAACTGATATTGTATTCGTGATCAGCATGCTAGATTACCCCCCTGTGCCAACTCCTAGCCCTGTAGCTCAAACTTTGCAGAAAAATCGATGAAATTGATAAAAGTAATGGATAATTCTTAAAACTAATATTGTATTCGTGATCAGCATGCTCGATTACCCCCTGTGCCAACTCCCAGCCCCGTAGGTGAACTCAGCAAAAAAACGATAAAAATCGATAAAGTCGATATCGACCGATGACGAAAAGTAGCCTGTGACACCTGCCCGGGTCCGAAGTGTATGTGTGCAAAGTTTGGTCCGGATCGGTTCAGAAATGGAATTTTCTATTCGGAATATATTAGGTTGGTTCGAAAGTTCTCGCGCATTATTTTCAAAAAACCATAACTTCCTTGCCACTCGATGGATTTCGTTGAAATTATATCTATTCGAAAGAGGAATCCATGCTCTTTACAGCTGTGCCTTCGACATGAATTACTTTGAAAAACTTGGAGAGTTACAAGCAATTGAATGAAATTAGTCAAAATATCTGGTATTATTTTTATATGATAGAGAAAATTATGCTCATCACAATGGCACTTTTCCCATGAGTTGACATGAAAAAAATCGAGAATTAGGAGCAAATAAAGAAAATTCCTTCAGTTTTGCAATTTTTGGGCATGCTCAAAAAAGCCCAGAAACGTCACAGAAAATACGGAAAAGTCATGAAAGTGGGTATTGTGACATTCTCGTTCTAGCTGAGCAAGTTTCGAGCTAATCGAGAGCACTTTTGTTTTTTGTGATTTTTTCGCATTTTCGGCTCTGCATTTTTCATGAAAATCAAAATTGCTCTCGATTAGCACGATTGCCGCTCAGCTAGAAAGAGAAGGTCACGAAACCCATGCTCATGACTTTAATTTCTTTTCTGTAACGTTTCTAAGCTTTTTTGAGCATGCTTAAAAATTACAAAACCGAAGGAATTCTGTTTATTTGCTCCTAACTCTCGATCTTTTTCGTTTCAACTCATGGGAAAAGTGACATTGTAATGAGCATAATTTTCTTTATCAAATAAAAATACTTCCGGAATTTTTCGTGAGCCAGCTCGAAAAATGTCAATTTTGACTATTCTCCTTCAACTGCTTGTAACTCTCACAGTTTCTCAAAGTAATTCATGTCGAAGGCATACTGTAAAGAGCATGGATTCCTCTTTCGAATAGATATAATTTCAACGAAATCCATCGGGTGGCAAGGAAGTTATGGTTTTTTGAAAATGATGCGCAAGAACTTTCGGACCAACTTAATACGTACAGACACACATACAAACAGTCATACAGACAGACAGATAAACAGACATTCAGTTTCATATATAAGATAGTTTCATGGTCGTACAGTGTTATTATCTTGAATGAGTCGAAAACTTGAATGTTGAAGAAAAACACAGAGAAAAACACTGATATGGCTTTCTTGAATATCATTCTGCTAATTTCTCAACGAAAAACATCAAATCGGCAACTGGAAACTGCCTAAAGATAGTACATCTAAATTTGAATATTTTTCAAGAATCATCGCACTGATCTGGCTCTCACTTTTTCCTTTGACTGACCATTGATTAGTATCTGCTTTTGCGCTTTGTGTATCCTCCTAAACTCATGATCAGCGTCACTGATATTGACATCCTTTCAACTTGCCGTGTGAGTTCTTTTTGTTGTTCTGGTTGACATCATAGCCTATTAGCCATACAACCATGTATACACGGTTATCTGATCTCATCAGCCTCTTTCAAGAGGCGTAGTTCCGTGTAATCTATTCATCGGTAATTGCTATCTCCCGTTTCTCCTGCTTGTCCTTTGCTGTTTCTACCCATCTTCAGATGCATACTTTTTGTACTCATTCGCAAAAATCAAAAAATTACTAGCAACTTGCGATTTCAGTACGCTAAACATCTTACGATCAGTCTTAAAAGTCTCATTGGCACCTTTGCATCTCCTAAAAGAAAGTGCTAATGTACCTTTATAATTGTTTTGGTTATTTGGTGAATTTCTCGAGATCTTTGGCTTCCTATCTTTTTTTCATTTTATCCCTAAAATCAATACTCGCAAGTTTAATTAGTCGATGTGCACGGTTCGAGAGTGATTTTTGGGTCCTCTTACCACATGACTGGTGATAAAAGCGAACACGTACGAATGAGTTTATTCAACAAAGATGGACTATCTTAATTTCCAGCAATTTTTCCCGGAGGCGAAGGAGAAATTTGAAGACGTAGTAAGGAACTAACTAATAAAAAAATAACAAAATTAAATAACAAAAAATCAACTAATATTTATTAACTTATCGCTGTGCTAAGCGGTACTAAATAATAGAATAACACGCAAGATAGTTCGGGAGAACCCTGGCGTGATATTGGGCATGGATTATCCGATGCAGTTTGCATCACGGGTAACGCTCCCCAGCGATGAAGAGGCTTGCCTTAGCCCTGGAGGAAATACTCCTCTTAAAGGAAACTGCATAAGAGTTCAGGAAGGATCGCCTCAAACTCGACGGATCTAAGGTCCAACGACAGAAATTATACAAGTCATTTGAATAAATGTACCATGTTGTCCGCGTCCATAAATGACTATAGAGGAAACCGGCTCAAGAGATAGTGAATAATCCAGAATCGAATAGCTACACAGGCTTTAAATCTAATATATAAGAATCGTAACTCCGATACAAAAATCATCAAATAGCGGGAAACCGCCG